TAGTAGAGACAGGGTTTCACCATATTGGCCAGGCTGGTCTCTAACTCCTGACCTCCTAATCCACCTGCCTCAGCCTCCCAAAGTTCTGGGATTTACAGGCGTGTGCCACTGCACCCAGCCGACTCCTTTCTTTTATAATCACTCCATTCTGAATTAGACAGAGGTCTTTGCTTTTCCTTTCCATATTTCTCCTTCTTTGCGTTAGGGGGTTGCATTTGATAAGAGCTTTGCTCTTCCACCCAGCACTTAAGGAGCAGAATGTAACTCAGATGGCCTCCTTAAGGAAGGATTCCCCCACCCAAGGAGAACGCAGGGCTTTTCTCAAGCTCTTCCCTTTAACTGTTGGTTAAAGCAGTTGGTGCTGGGTGCCAGAGAAGAGCTGGGCCCTGGTGAATTTCACACTACGCAAAATGATGATAGGATCCTGTTGGGAGTATCTTACACCAAGGCTGCCTAACTCCTCCAAAGCTCCTTCCCCTCAGTGTTTTTATAGCCAGAGGGGATTCCAGCAGAAAGAGAATAGAGCTTTTAAGAAATAAGGTAGCTCTCTAACCAGCACCACCTCTAGCTCCCGGAACTCTAACTAGCAAAAGAAGGGTAGTAAGTAAGGACGTCTCTCTCACAGTCTCACACAAAGCAAATTGCTCACTAACTGGTGGTAAAGCACCCAGGAAGCAACTGGCTACAAAAGCTGCTTGGGCCAGGTGAGGTGGCTCATGCCTGTAATTCCAGTACTTTGGGAGGCCAAGGAGGGCAGATCACTTGAGGTCAGGAGTTGGACACCAGCCTGCCCAACATGGCAAAAGCACCAGCCTGCCCGACATGGCAAAACCCAATATGGCAGAAACTCTGCTAAAAACATACAAAAAATTGAGGGCCGGGAGCAGTGACTCATGCCTGTAATCCCAGCACTTTGGGAGGCTGAGACGGGTAGATCATCTGAAGTCAGGAGTTTGAAACTAGCCTGGCCAACATGATGAAACACCGTCTCTACTAAAAATACGAAAATTAGCCGGGCATGGTGGCAGTCACCTGTAATTCCAACTATTTGGGAGGCTGAGGCAGGGGAATTGTTTGATTCAGGAGGCAGAGGTTGCAGTGAGCCAAGATCGTGGCACTGCACTACAGGCTGGGCAATAGAACAGGACTCCATCTCAAACAACAACAGCAGCAACAAAACCCACAAAAATTGGCCAGGCGTGGTGGCTCATGCCTGTAATCCTAGCACTCTGGGAGGCCGAGGCGGGTGGATCATCTGAGGTCAGTTCAAGACCAGCCTGGCCAACATAGTGAAACCCATCTCTACTAAAAATACAAAAATTAGCCGAGTGTGATGACATGCGCCTGTAGTCCCAGATACTGGGGGCGGGGAGCTGAGGCAGGGAGAATCGCTTGAACCTGGGAGACAGAGGTTGCAGTGAGCCAAGATCGCGCCGCTGCACTCCGGCCTGGGTGACAGAGCAAGCAAGACAAAATGAAAAACTAACAAGAGGGGGAGGAGCGAAAAAGAAAAAATAAAAAAACAAGACTGCTCATAAGAGTGCACCCTCTACTGGAGGGTTGAAGAAACATGGTCATTACAGGCCTGGGACTGCAGCACTCCATGAAATTATAGACACTATCAGACATCTACTGAACTGATTCGCAAACTTCCCTTCCAGCATCTGGTGTGAGAAATTGCTCAGGACTTTCAAACAGATCTGCTCTTCCAGAGTGCAGCTATTGATGCTTTGCAGGAGGCAAGCAAGGCCTATCTGGTTGGCCTTTTTGAAGACAACAACCTGTGTGTTGTCCATCCCAAATATGTAATACCTATGTCAAAAGATGTACAGCTAGCACTCCGCATGTGTGGAGAACATGCTTAAGAATCCGCTATGAAGAGGGAAACATTCATTCTCAAAAGAGAAAAAAAAGTCTCTGCTTCCTGTCATTGGTAGTTCTGGATGTCATTGGTAGTTCTTTCCCCATGGGGGTCAAAAGGTACCTAAGTATATGACTGTGAGCAGAAAAGTAGGAGACAGAAGTCAGGTTTTGTCAGTTTTTCAATTTTCATTTGTGTGTGAATTCTTAATATGAATGTGGGTGGGGATGTAGAGTTCATTACATTAAAAACGTCCTTGCAAGTCAAAATGTTTCAGTGAATCAGTGGTTCAACTTTATAATAATTATAAGCAAGCCTATTAAATTTTTCTGGAAACACACACAAAAAGAAACGAGATGACCAAGAGATTGAGAGTCGGGCCGGGCGCGGTGGCTCAAGCCTGTAATCCCAGCACTTTGGGAGGCCGAGGCGGGTGGATCACGAGGTCAAGAGATCGAGACCATCCTGGTCAACATGGTGAAACCCCGTCTCTACTAAAAATACAAAAAATTAGCTGGGCATGGTGGCACGTGCCTGTAATCCCAGCTACTCAGGAGGCTGAGGCAGGAGAATTGCCTGAACCCAGGAGGCGGAGGTTGCGGTGAGCCGAGATCACGCCATTGCACTCCAGGCTGGGTAAAAAAAAAAAAAAAAAAAAAAAAAAAAAAAAGAGATTGAGAGTCAAGGAGGGAATCTTGCCTCTGAGTCTCTTGCTACCCTTAGCCCCAAACAAACAATACTTCTGAATGTCTAACGACATACTTTCTTTTCATATTTCGACTTTATTTAAAATATGAGGTTTTATGTCCAGGAGGGAGGGCAGTTGTCCATGGAAGGTGAAGCGAGGCATAATACTATTGGGTTGAGGGCCAAGTGCACAGGGTTGCACTGGAAGGAACTGGGGAGGTTCTGGGAGGGCCTGGTGACAACGGTTTTGGGGAGATTCACATAGAAAATTTTCATTTCCTCCCCAGGTTAGCTATTCAGTGGGTGGATTATTCAGTCTTTCTAGCAAAGTCACTGCTCTGTAGCAACATCAATAAAAGTGCCAAAGCTGGGGACACAGAGAATACTGTCATTGCCTTTTGTTTCTCTTTACACCTAGGTGGGGAAAGGAATGGAAACTGCAGCAGAAAATGAAACATTTCTGATGTTATCCCTTGCCGTGAAAAATCACGGGTTTGTGTAGAGACCTCTCTGTCTCTCTCTCTCTTTAATTGAGGGTCTGTCTCACTGTCACCCAGGCTGGAGTGTAGCGATGTGATCATAGCTCAGTAACCTCCAACTCCTGGGCTCAAGCGATCTTCCTGCCTCAGCTTCCTGAGTAGCTGGACTACAGACCCATGCCACCATGTCCAGCAAATTTTTAAAATTTTTGTAGAGACAAGGTCTCACTATATTGCTCAGGCTGGTCTTAAACTCCCAGGTTCAAGCAATGCTTCTGCCTCAGCCAGCCTCCCAAGTGTTGTGATTACAGGTGTGAACCACCACAGCCAGCAGAGACCCGTTTCTTAGCCTGGGAATGGGATGTGATCAGGAGGCCCAGGTTTAAGCTCTATTTTGAGCTGTACTAACAAATTCTATGACCCTACTAGAGTCATTTCTCACCTTTGGACCTGTGTTCTCATCTGTAAAGGAGCCTGGACCCAATGATCTCTAAAGAGAAGCCTTTTCAGGTCTGATTCTATGACCTGCAAACTGCAAAGATCCAAACAGGTTCCAGAAAAACACAGGAGTTAGAAACAAGGGAATGTGAGTGTTAGATGGAAAACTGAGGAGCTGGGGCTCATAATGAAATGTTTTACTACATTCACAAAGAAAAACAAAGGAACACGAAGGAGGCTATGGGACAGGTAGGTGTAGGAAGGTATCTGCAGTCTGGATGAGAGGAATGGGCCACAGTATTTCTGCTGGGTTGCCTCAAAGACCCAAGCCTCTGACCATGGTAGTGTTTTCTCTTATGGTACTTCCCAGTCCATGGCTGACACATTCCAAATTGCTCCTGTTCATTAGTCACGAACTGTCAGAGGAGTTTCTACCACAATGCCTAATGCGTAACACACTAATAGGGTGGCTGAAGATTCTGCTAAACTCCTGGTGTCCCGGTGTCAGATGAGACTGCACCTGCTGGGAGAAAGCAGTGGATGCTGCTGTGTCCAGGCACACTCTGCTTTGCTTACTGGGGCTGTGGGAAATATAGGTGGAAGTTTTGGAAAGAGTAGTGCAAGATGGAAAGGGCACACTGCCTCATCTTGGTTGATTTGCAGATGGTGGGTTTTGTGGTGATGCTTCACTGGCTCAACCCAAGGTGAGGAAAAGCCAGGGGGTCGGGAGAATCTCAGTGCTGAAGTCCTGGGAGAGGAGCACACAACAATGGTATCAGGGCAGGGAATCTGTCCAGACAGCCTTGAAAGAACCAGGCACTCAGAAGTCACTCAAGAAATACTAGTTTCTTTCCTATTTTACAAGGCTTGGTGGCACCGATAGTTATGTAAGTCAGGTTCCAAGGAGACACCTGTTATTTGTGTGCACAGGAAGGTAGCTCAGCCAGACCCAGCCTTGAGGCAGTCGGGGAAACTAACAGCTTACCCAAGCCCAGGGGCAGCTTGATATGGGAAGAATCAAGACCAAAATGTTGTTCTATAAAGCCGAGATGAGCCAGGGTACTTCTGAGAAAGAGCTTAGGGAACAGGATTATCATTAGCTTTCTGCCCACAGTCAGAGTTGGCATTTACCCAGTAACATTAGGATTCCCAGAAAAGGCTCAAGCGCAGACCATCTAGCAGGTGTTCTAGTCATGGACCCAACCTAGGTGAAACATTAGTGGGGTTTGTCTGTTCAATGCCAGTAGGGGAAGAGGGAGGGAAGTGGCACACCAACAGGTGTAGAGTGTTGGCTCAGGCCAGGAGAGAATTCCAATGTATGGCAAGGCTGGAGTGTAAGCAGGCAGGCGAGGGGCATCCTGTGCTGATCCTGCAGAGATGGGACACTGGCACAGGAGACAGCAGCAAACTCCTTCCAGCCACAGATGAAGCTTGGGACCCCCCTGTCTTCTCCAAGCCAGTCCAGGAGACTGGCAGGATGGGAAGGCAGAGCACAATCAGAAACTATGGTCTTTTCCTAATAAGAAAATAATATATAGCAAGGTATTTAATATTGTTTTTAAAGAGGACAAAAATATAACATCATGGTTACACAGAAGCTCTGGAGATTTCCTGGGTTCACAATCCTACTTCTGCCATTTACTAGCTGTGCAATCTTGGACAAATTACTGAGCTTCTCTGAGCCCGTTTCCTCATCTCTAAATCAGAGATAATGGCAATGCTCTACTCATAGCGTGGTTTGGGGTATGCATACAAACAAAACAGATTTTATGATTGAGTCATGGTTCTGGAAAGAATAAAACCCCAGATTTTAGCACACAAGTGTTAAGTAAATGTGAGCTCTCATTATTAATACAACATGGCAGTGACACACATACATTAGACAAGAGATTATTCCACACTGAGCCTCCACCCAGTCTCCCTCTCTATTATCCTCCTGTGGGCTCCTAATTGATGACTCAACAGTGCATTGCTTGGCAGCTTCCAGTAGTTTCTTCATTTTGCTGCAACTTTGAACTGAAGGTGATTCACATGGTGCATGAAATTCTTCTTGTTTTCTTCACAAGATAAGGATGATGTTTAGATAGGCATTTGTTTGAGGACCTGGGGACTCCTCTCTTTCAGCCACCTTTTCTCAAAGACTCAGACTGCGGACAGGAGGGGCATGGTAATAAGCCCCATACTCTATTCTTTCTTTTTCTTTTTTTTTTTTTCTTTTTTCTTTTTTTTTTTTTGAGACAGAGACTCACACTCTGTTACCCAGGCTGGAGTGCAGTGGCGCGAGCTCAGCTCATTGCAACCTCAGCCTTCCAGGTTCAAGCGATTCTCCTGCCTCAGCCTCCTGAGTAGCTGGGATTATAGGCATGAGTCACCACATCCGGCTAATTTTTGTATTTTTAGTAAAGATGGGGTTTCACTATGTTGGCCAGGCTGGTCTTGAATCCTGACCTCAAATGATCTGCCTGCCTTGGACTCCCAAAGTGCTGGTATTACAGGTGGGAGCCAGCATAGCCTGCCCCACATTCTATTCTGAATGCATGTATGGGCACGTGAGCATGCCCATCCCCTTTCACTCAGTGATAAGGAAAAGGGGGAACCAGAAATTTCTCTTTGAGAAATCAATAACAGAAATGGGTGTGGGGAGCTGGTTACCTGGGAGATCCTTGTTCATTTGTAACATCAGGAACTGCTTCTTCTCCTTCTTCTCTCTTCTAGAAGACTGTCAAGGAGCCTGAGTGAGGAAAGTAGACCAACCATGGTCTTTGAGAAAAGCAAATAGGGTTTCCATCCCTTCTGGCGGGAGAAGGAATAGCAGAGATGAACAAGAATGAAGACGGAAACAAATGGAAATAGACAAAAGTAAGGTAAATGCCCTATATGTTAAAAGAAAAAAAGTGATGAGAAGGGAGAGGGACAAGGAAAGAAAGAGAAAAGCAAAGAGGTTAGGAATAGGGTAAGAGAAAAGGAAAAACAGCAACCAGGAGAGGAATCACTCCCCTGTTAAGGTTAACCAGGAGGAGAGACAAGGCATGAATGTGAATGGGTATGAGAGTCTGGCTTTCCCACTGCACTTGCTTTGGTTATGGAGCAGACCATCTTCTGGTACCATTTACTATTCAAGTTGCTTTGATGCTTTTTTTTTTTTTTTTTTTTTTGAGAGAGTTTCACTTTTGTTGCCCAGTCTGGAGTGCAATGGCGCAATCTTGGCTTACCGCAACCTCTGCCTCCTGGGTTCAAGTGATTCGCCTGCCTCAGCCTCCCAAGTAGCTGGGATTACAGCATGTGCCACTGCGCCTGGCTAATTTTTTAGTATTTTTAATAGAGACAGGGTTTCTCCATGTTGGTCAGGTTGGTCTGGAACTCCCAACCTCCGGTGATTTACCCACCTCAGTCTCCCAAAGTGCTGGGATTACACATGTGAGCCACTGTGCCTGGCTTTTTTTTTTTTTTTAACAACCAAGTGGATTGACTAAAATGCTTTGATTCTTCATTTGAAATGTTTCTATTCCATATACCCATTATCTTTTATCCCCACAAAAGCCCTTAACATTGTTTCCTTTAATCTTTGGGGTTCTCAAGCATAATTTTCACCAACAGAGATGTACCTATACATAACTGTCTCAGACCATAGAGGCTAGAAGTCTGTGAGGGCAAGAGCAAAATGGAGCAGAGGATGAGCTGTCGTTTGGAAGGGGCTCTGGAATATGCTGGGGTGAGGTGAGGCTGCAAGTTGGTTATGGGATGCTTCCTGGACTCTTGAACATCTGTGCCAAAAACCAGAGGAACCATCCTCAGCTTCAACCAAATGCTTGGGGTGTTCTGTGTTCTGAACCATAGCACTAGGTTGGAAAATGTGGCTTCTAATCTATACTCTGCCATGTACAGATCACAACATATCATACAAGGGGCCTTCAAAGATCATCTAACCTAAATCCAATTTCCCAAGGAAAAAACTGGGGCACAAAGAGATGAAGTAACTTGCCCAAAGTTATATAGCTAGTCAGGGACTTCCTCTTCGGAGGCAAAAGAAATCAGAATAGTGATTCTCCTGATTCACCGTCCCTCGACAAACAGTCCATAAAGTGCTTGGAGGTTATTAAAAGGCACTCCAGAAAAGTAAGGCTGGCATTTTCCTGGAAGCCCCTGAGTGTACCAACCCTTAGGCACCTCAGTATTTGGCTATAAGAACAGATCTGGAGTTGCTTTGGCCTCCATTTTAATCGCTAAAGCTGCCTGGAGGCTGGAGCTCTGACGGCTACCTGTCATCACTCCCCTGCCAGTCCACGGACACCGCAGCCAGGAACTGTCAGAGGTGACAAGGGAATCCCGTCATAATGCCAAGGACCAAGGAGCAATGGCCAGGTTCCTGGGATTAAGCAAGGCAATTATGGCTGAGTTAAAGCTAGGATTGGCAGGACAAGGGGACCTGAGGTGGAAAAGGCGGGTAAGAAGAGGGAATGCGCCAGCAATCTAAATGACTTCGACTGGGTGGGCTACTTTACATCATACCTCCTCCATCCCCAAAAGGTTCTTAACCTTCTTCAACTGCCTAGGCCCGATGAACCTCCTCCCTTCCTCCCAGTGCCCACTCACTGAGGGGAAAGCCACCATCATCCCCATTCTTTTCCTTTTGTCTAATCCCTTGGGTGCCGTGTACAGTCTCCTTCCTCCTATACCCTGGGTTCCCTCTGCTCACATCCGACCAGCTTTTAACAACCCGATCTCCCTCCCCGAGCTTCGTTGATTCGGCCCACCCCCCCCTTCCCCACGCCCCCGCTTTCCCCACCCTCCTCGTCCTCCCCGCCAGTCCTGGTCTCTCCTATTCCTCCCCGCCACATCGGTCCCCCGCCCCCGGGTGCCTTTGGGGTTTTCCGCCGTCGGCCGCAGGTGCCTCGTCTCAGATAAAGTGGATCCAGCCCTGGGGCTCCGGGGCTCCGCCACTGCCTGGGTGTTCCGGCCCTCGTAGAGCATAGTCACGGCCGCCGTTGTTGTCCCAGAACTCGTGACCTGTCACACGGTAGCGCAAGGCGAAGAGCAGAGCGCCCCCAATCGGCGGCGCGGGCAGGCGGAAGGCGAAGCGGTCGGCGCGCGGCGGGGGCGGGGCCGGGCCGGCGTAGGCGGCGGGGGCCTCGCGTTGGCTCCGCCAGCCGTCAGCGCTCCAGCGCACGCTCACGCGCTTCTCGTAGGCCAGGTCCAGCACGCGCGCGCTCCCGGCCACGCCCAGCGGGCCCGCCTCGGCGCGTTCCAGGCAGATGCGCTGCGCCTGCAAGCGGGCGGCGAAGCCGGGCTCGCTGGCCGGCTCCAGGGCGGCGCGCGCCTCCTGGGGGAAAGAAGAAGCGGGAGGAGGGAGCCCGGGGCGGAGAGAGGGGAGAGACAGGGGCGGTGTCAGAGCGAGGCACTGGGCCAATCAGAGGCCGACCCCGGCGTCCGGGCCGGCATAGTGCGGCCCAGCTGCCAGGGTGGCCTAGAGCCACTCGCGTATGGGGGACCCAAAAAGGGATGGGCAGGCGCAAGCCCAGGGATGGGATGGAGATGGGTGCTCCTTGGCAAATCCACTCCCACATGCCCGCTGCGGCCGACTGGGGGAGGTCCCCAGGAGGGGAGGTGCCCCCGCCGCCTACCTGGAGGCCGCGGGCGCGGGGCTGGCAGGGCGCGAAGTGGCGGAGGGCGTCCCTCTGCAGTTGGATCTGCACGTGGCGGGGCACCCGGGGCAGCTCCCCAGGACGGAAGCGGCGCACGGCGGCCAGCTCCAACCCCAGTGCGTCGGCGAAACGCACTCTCTTGCGGGTGTTTGGGCTACGGCTGCGGGGCGCCCGAGCCCCGCCGCCTCCGGCTGGTGCAGAGCGGGCCCGGCGGCCCCGACTCGGTGCGTGAGCGCGGGATCGGGCCCCGAACCGCGTCCCTCCCTCGCCTGGCTCCTCCTCCGGCTCCTCCTCGAGGCTGGGCCGCTGGCTACGGTAGTAGACGCGCTCCGTTAGCGCGGCAATAAAGCTCAGGTTCCGGGGGATGTCGGTGCCGGGGGGTCGCTCACGGGACATGGCAGCCCCCTCCCCGACTGAGCCAGCCCGCAGCGTCGCCGCGCTGCCCTCTCCTCCTCTCTCCCGCCCGCCCCGCGTCGGCGCAGAAGTCGCGGGGTCCGCTTCTGCAGCCCCTCGCCGCTGCGTACTCTCCTTGCAGTCACCTCCGGGAACCTCTACCTCTGGTTGCTTTGCCTCTCCTCTGTGACCACCTTTCCCCTCCCTCTGGCCGTCAGCTTCCAGGGTCTTAAGACTATCACATCCTGCCTCTTGCGAGCGGTCTGCTCTGAGCGTGCGCTCAACGGCGCTCACCCTCCGGTTCTAAGGCCCCCACGGCCCCGGCCCCCGCCCACAGCTCTCTGACAGGTGGCTCCGCTTGTCTTCGCTGCTGCACCAGGGGGCGGGGACTTCACCTTTTCGGTCCCAAGTGAGGCCACTCAGCCTTTTTAAAAAACATCCACGGGCCGGACGCGGTGGCTCACGCCTCGAATCCCAGCACTTTGGGAGGCCGAGGTGGGAGGATCGCTTGAAGCCAGGAGTTCAAGACCAGCCTGGGCGACATAGTGTGACCTCCCCCTTCTCAACAACAACAATAATAACAATAATGTTAAAATTTTAAAAAGTCCTCAACATTTCCCGCACAGCACAGGAAAGGTTAACGCCGGGAAGAAAACTTTCATTTTCTTGCAGCGGAAGATCAAAAATGCCCAGCATGTGACTTTGTCTTCGGAGTTCACCGTTTTCTTTTCTGAAACCTAGGCTCCTGGTTTGGGCAGGGGGTGGCAGTGGGTGCAAAGAAGGAAAAGTCGCAAAACATAGGTAGAGTCTTTCAAATAGGAGGTGAGAATGTGGCACCCTAACTAAGAACTGTCCAAGGTCTGGTGCTATTTAGCTGTGTAACCTTGAGCAAGTAAGGCATAACTTCTCTGGACTCAGTGTTCCCAATTTCTCTCTCTTCTCTCTCTCTCTCTCTCTCTCTCCCTCTCCCTCTCCCTCTCTCCCTCTCTCTCCCCCTCTCCCTCGCTCTCTCTCTGTGTCTCTCTCTTCCCTCCACTCCCGTGTGTGTGTGTGTGTGTGTGTGTGTGTGTGTGTGTCAGAGTGTCGCTCTGTCACCAAGGCTGGAGTGCAGTAGCATGATCTTGGCTCACTGCAACCTCCGCCTTCTGGGTTCAAGTGATTCTCCTTCTTCAACCTCCTGAGTAGCTGGGATTACAGGTGCCCGCCACCATGCCTGGCTAATTTTTGTATTTTTAGTAGACACAGGGTTTCACCATGTTGGCCGGGATGGTCTCGAACTCCTGATTTCAGATGATATCCCTGCCTCAGCCTCCCAAATTGCTGGGATTACAGATGTGAGCCATCACGCCATACTCTGAATTCAGTGTTCTCTTCTGTAAAAAAGTGGTAGAGTTCTGATTTCTAACCCAACATAAGCCCTTTGAAGGCAGGGGCTTTGTCTGATTAACGGTGAGTTTTAGTATATGGTAGGCACTCAAATTATTCAATGAATGAGCACTCAACAACTCTCTTGGAGTTGGGAATGTGGAGTTCTAGGTCCAGTGGGCACTTCCAAGAAGGGCAGAGCTGGTTTTTTCCTCTTTCATTTTTTTTTTTTTTTTTACATTAGTGAAAAAAATGTGAAGTGTTTTTAGTTTTTTTCTAACTTTCCTACTGATCTTATATAGCACTTAAAATGTGCTAGGTACTGTTGTAAGGGTTTTACAAGTACTAACTCATGTAATACAACCCTCAGAGGAATAAAGACTATTATGCCTAAAGATGAGAAAAGTGAGGGAGAGAGGGGAGAGGACTCTTGCCCAGGGTCACATAGTTAATAATTGGGGAGGTGGGATTAGGACCTAAACAGTTCAGCTCTACAGTCCATGCTCTTACCCACTTGGTTATATAAAATTAAAACATTTAACAATAATACTTAACATCCTCAGAGTGTTAAAAGGGGGAATCTTAGAGTAGAAATGAAGTCTCTACATTTAAAGCAGCAGAATAGTTTAACTGTAAAACCACAAGTGACTAAGTTGAAAATAAACCATGAGACACATGCCGTCTTGTTATTGTACAATTAATTCCTGTTTGCATGCATTCATACTAGTATTGACTGTAGCAATACTATTCAGCTAGGACTCATTTTTAAAGCAATATTGACTTTTAAAAATTTCATACATATATAGAATGCATGGATGTATTCTTTTCATATTTTAGGGCATAAAATAATCATACATTAATTTATATTACAATCAAGCTGGCTCGGGAGTTTGAGATCAGCCTGGGCAACATAATGAGATCCCCATCTCTATAAAAAATGAAAAATTAGCCAAGCATGGTGGAGCACATCTCTAGTCCCAGCTACTGGGGAGGCTGAGGTGGGAAGATTGCCTGAGCCCAGACAGTAGAAGCGGAAGTGAGCTGTGATTGTGTACCACTGCACTCCAGTTTAGGCCATAGAGTGAGACCCTTGTCTCACAAACAAACCAGTCAACAAATCAGGAGTGCATATGAAGACTTGGACTAGGTTATTCTCTAAGGAAGGGGGCAACCTTGCTGGTGACAGCCAGAATGATCAGGCTAAGAGCAAAAAAGAAATGAGGATGGTTGAAAGGATATAGCCATAAAGGAGTATAATAGGCTGTGTGTTTAGAATGGAGAATTGAGTGTGGACTTGTAAATGGTGTGGATTCAGACTACGAGAACAATATTGACTATGTGAAGGGAAGAGGTGATCTTGAAGCAATAGGGTCAGAGTTACAGAATGAGAAGGGAGTCCTAGCTTCTTTACATATCAGTATATGGCTTTGGGTAAATCACTTAATCTCTCCAAACCTCAATTTTCTCATTCATTGAAGGAGGATAAAACAGCATAAGAATTGGTGAGAAGATAAAGTATATTGCTTGAGCCCAGATGGTGGAGGTTACCATCCTCAGAGCGTTAAAAGGGGGAATCTCAGAGTAGAAAAAAAGTACTTTGCACCTAATAACGCTTCAAAATACGTTAGTTTTTTTTGTTTTGTTTTGTTTTTGTTGTTGTTGTTGTTTTTTTTAAAGACAGAGTCTCCTTCTGTCACCCAGTCTGGAGTGCAATGGCATGACCTCAGCTGACTGCCACCTCTGCCTCCTGGGTTCAAGTGATTCTTGTACCTCAGCCTCCTGAGCAGCTGGGATTACAGGTGTGTACCACCACACCTGGCTAATTTTTGTATTTTTAGTAGAGACGGGGTTTTGTCATGTTGGTCAGGCTGGTATGGAACTCATGGCCTCAAGTGATCCACCTGCCTCAGCCTCCCAAAGTGTTGGGATTACAGGAACGAGCCACCAAACCCAGCTAGCTTGTTACTATTATTGCTACAGAAAAGACCTTGCTTCTCTAGTGACCATAAGGGCAGTTGGTAATACCCAGGCCTGGACTGGAGGTAGAAGCAAAGGGAACTAGCAGAAAAGGAAAATCGGATTGCCTCTTTCTGGCCTTTGGTTGGAGTGCTGTTTAAATGGAGGAAATGCCAGATCCAAGAGCCCAGGGGGGTGGCTGTGAGTGCCCTCATGTGGATCAGCTGTGGTTAGACTGCTTAACACCTTGTGATCTGCCCCATATAAATATACTGCCATGTATAAATGATGGCCACATATATATGTAATCTGGAAAGATAAACATCAAGCTTCACACTGGCAACATGCAGGGAGGGAAGTGGAATGGGGTGTGTGTGTGTGTGTGTGTGTGTGTGTCCGTGTGTGTTGGAGAACCTGTATTTTATTACTCCGTACCTCACCTCTTGATTTTTTCCCACGATAATTAGTTCATGTGTTAGGTAAAAAATAAATAAATAAATAAATAAATAAATAAATAAAATAAATCTAAAAGAATAAGAAGAATTAAAGAAAAGTACCGGCAGAAACTGCTTGTGATCCAAGTCCTGGCTCCCTGATGCCTGGCTGAAGCCCAGCCCACAAACAGAACACTGGGTTAAAGGTCCTGGAGAAAAGAGGATGGGAAAGGTTTGGTGTCGGTGTGGTGTCTGCTAGTCCCAGAAGGGTAGGGCACCTGGCAGACGGTTTTCAGCTTAATGGGAACTGCTCCTGTTTTCCAGGCACACACAATCCAGGGCTGGAGAAGTTCAACAAGTGCATGGAACATCGGAAACCTCCTGGAAATGCTGAATTTGCCTCGAGATGTCCTGAAGTCCAACATACTCCTCTGTGCAGCCTCGAGGCTCAGGAGCCCAGCCCAGCCCAGCTCACCGTGCCCTCTCAGCCAGCCCTTCTTAGCCTTCAGCAGCCCTCCCTCTTCCTGAGTAGTGGCCCTTCGCAGGCCTGCGTCCCAGCCCCGCCCCTCTCTCTGGACGCATCTCTGGGCCCCATCATCACCCGGCGCCGGGCCCTCCCTCTGCCCCCCCCTTTCTCCTCCCTCCTTTCCTCCCTCCGTTCCTCCCTCTCTCCCTCCCTCCCAGCTCCTGCACCAGGAAACGGCCCGGATCCCGGCAGCGGCCTGACCCGTGAGATCCCTAACCTGGCAGGCGGGCGGGGTTGGAGACTGGCTGAGGTGGGGGTAAGGGAGGAGCTGGGCCTTTGGGCTGCACTAGGGGGAACCGGGAATAGAGATGGTGTCGGCAGGAAGCCCTTGGCCCTGGGTTTCCCGGGAGGACAGTCATTAAACATGGATTCGGCCACACAGCTGGTAGAGCGTTGGGGGCAGGGGCCCAGGCCCAGAGCTGCAACCCCAGCCCTCCCAGGCCAGACCCCGATCCCTGGCCTTCCCTTCCTGGTTCTGATCTCCCCTTCCCCTTTACAGGGCTCCACGCTGGCCGGGAGGATGAAAGGCCCCAGCTGGGGGCTCCTTGCCACCAGCGCTGTGTCTTAAGAGCTGCTATCCCGGCTGGGTGAGTGTCTCCTTCCTTTCTGTCTGGAGTAACCCATTGCGTCTCCCACCTTTCTCTTCAGCCCATCTGCTCTCCTTCATCTTGTGCCTCTGCCAACATCTTTACATCTTGCATTTGGGGAGGTCCTAAGCCCCCTCCTCTAGCCAGGAAGGTGTGGATTGAGCAGGGGGAGGTGTGTAAGGGTGTCACAGAGCTGACGTTGTCTTATTATGAAAAGAATCTAAAGAATTCTAAACATAAAATTTACTTGTTTTGCATTTAATTTTGCATATTAGGATGCAATGGCCAGCCTCTCGAACCCTGGTCCCGCATCATGACTTAATTCTCTTGTTCTTGCCTCTCCCTGTCTAGTGAGCTCTGAGCATTTCCTCCCTCCTCCCCATCTCACTGGGTTGGCCAAACCAGAAATGCCCCTTCTGGTTCACT